GAGGAGAAGGGGGGGGATATGGAGGAAGAGGAGGAGGAGGAGGAGGAGGAGGAGGAGGAGGAGGAGGAGGAGGAGGAGATGGAGGAGGAGGAGGAGGAGGAGGAGAAGATGGAGGAGGAGGAGGAGGAGGAGGAGGAGGAGGAGATAAGATAAGATAAGACCCTGGGGCGCCGATCCCTCCCTACACTGCAATGCAAGCCCCCGCTCACAACCTCACATGCTGCAAAGATAAAGAGGCGCCTGGGTTCGCCAAGCTGGCGGACTGGAACTGTAGCCACCGCGCTGCACCACGACCACTTAAGGTGTGGAGACTGGCCCGATGGCGGACCCGACGGCACGCAGCCTGCGGCTGCCATCATAGGCGCTAACCTCGGGCACCTCTGCCTGAAGTTGCGCCTCGCTCTGAACCTGAACCCCTGCCCCGACGATTTCGGGATCGGGGAGGGAGCTGGATTGCTGGCCCTACCTCTGGGGCAGCGGGAAAGTAGACGGGAGCGGGGAAGGACGTAACGAGGCCAGGGGGCGGAGGGAGGGAGGAAGGGGAGATCACGCTAGGAAGTCTACTATCAGTAAAACCTGAAACTCTCCTGCTAGCATCCTCACTCAAAAGCCCCGCCCTCAGAAGCTGCTGTGATCGCTCACTATTGGCCCAGCTGAAGCCTCTAGAACCCCCTACTTGCACTGGTCTAGCAGACGCTGCGCCTCCCTTACCAGGACCCCTCGCGGGGCCGCCCCCACTGTCTTCTCGCCCCCCTCGGCCTTGAGGCAGTAGCGGGTCGCCGAGAGCAGCTGGTTGCCGCGCTCGCTGGTGTCCAAGAGGAACTGCACCTTTGCCATTTCCGTGTCGGCCTTGCCCTTCGTCTCGAGGCGCGTCGCCTTGCAGTGCCTCACCACCTCGCTCAGCACAACTGGGTCCTCCGCTGCCATCACCGTCGACTCCCAGTACTGTGCCGCCGCCGTCTGCTCCTTGGGCAACTGCCCCGCTGCCTCCTCGAACGCCGTCCCCTTGATCAATGCTGCAAACGCCCTCAGGTGAGGGGCGTGCATCTTCACCTTCGTGAACTCCTTGCCCTCCTTCTCCGCTGCCTTCTGAAGCTCGCGCTGCTGCTGGGCCTCCGCGTTGAAGCTCTGGCCCTCCTCGAGCATGAACTGCACCGTGCGACTGTCGAGCGGCAGCAACCACGTGTCGTACACCGCGCCGATGAGCGCTCTCAACTCCGCCTCGCCGTTGAGCACCCAATTTGCCAAAACAATGACGAGCTCGCCCAGGTTTTGCTTCTTTCCGCCACGCTGGACCCCCTGACGAGCTGATTGCGCGCCTCCCCCTGCTGGCCCGACGATGCGGCGCACCTTGCCGCTGCTCTCGCCCGTGCTGCGCGCCATCCACTTGGGGACCGCCGCCGTCGTGTTCGGCATGGCTGGAAATGTCGGCTGGACCCGACCACGATACAGCACGAGCTCGCTGCGCTCGCTGCTGCTGAACACTGGAACGTGTAGATACAGTATCAAGAACTCGAGGAAGATGACTACGGATATGTTGCTGAAAATCATCTGTGTCCGATGCGTGATATTCGCAGAGGGGGCAAGCCAAGTCAGTAATTTGAGACCGAGCAGCCTGAGACTTTCCACCCCCAGCAATACAGTAACCCCTGTTCATGGAGCCCACGAGGTGCCTGCTAGCCGTGATCACCCCCGAGATGATCCCCCGACAGTTTGGGCACTCGTTAGTGCGACATAGAACGTGCCCCAATGAACGATAATGATGATGGAATCGTAAATGGTTTAGCGCAGACTTCTGATCGGGGAACTTCGCATCGCATCGAACTCGACGACCAATAGTATCGCTAGGATCGCATCTATGTTCATATACACCACAGACCCATTTCACAGCACCACCCTGAACGATCTCAGTAGATAACATAGCACTAAGTTGAGGATCGTACTCAGGAGGAGGAATCGCCACCGTATGAAGACGTCGTCGTAAGAGAGAGAGAGAGAGAGAGAGAGAGAGATCAATCTTACAGAACGCTTTTCCAAGCTCCTTATCCCACCAAAGCGCGAGAAACGAGCCCTGCAGACGTTCGAGCAACTCTCGACCGTCCTCGATATCCTCCAGTGCCTGTACATCTTCAAAGAACTGCTTCGCCCAGGGGTTCGCGTAGGCGGTGAGACGACCCATTTCATCATACTGCGGACGATCGTCCACTGCCAATTCAGCAAAAAGAGCTGCAAGAATCTGAGCATGCCGCCCAGGATAACGGATGAACTGCACGAGCCACCCCAAACGACGGACCCTGAGCTCGATAAAGGCCGGCGTAATACGCCAATGGTTGAGCACCTGCTCATTGCTGAGACTCTGAACATGTGTAGTGCCCTCATAGCTAGCCCCTCTCATAGCCACTCTACAATGTGTTACCATAAGAGAATCCAACTTCTTACATAAACCCTCCGTCACCAAGTAGGCCTCCAGGTTCTGGACCCCCGCGCTCTGGACCCCCAACAAGACCGAGCGTTTCAACCGAAACGAGATGCCAGGAGTCGACCAGAAACTTCCCAAATAATGAAACGAACTTTTGATCGCGTTCAGGCGCTTGTTTACCTCTGGAGTGATCGAGCCCATGAAATGAATCTCCCCACCCAGCACCCTCATAGACGGACTGACTCCACCTTCAAAAAGTTCAGAAGCAGAGGCTCGTAATCGACGATTCGCGGCGACCGAGCCCTGGCCAGAGAGACAGACGATGGTGTTCTGCTTGCTCCTGTTCTGCGCCCATCCCCCTATCTTAAGAACCTCATCCAAGACTTGATTGGAGTAAAAGTTGGCGGCAGAAAGCTCTGCCAAGCCCGCGCCACCACAAGAGGCCGCAGGACCTCCACCTACGTGCAGCTTCGCGAGGTCGTCGGCATACTTAGTCAGAGACAAATCTACCAACATGCCTGTAATCGGACAAGTGGCTGCTAGAAGCGCCTCCGAAGGCATCTGGGCGTACAACACCTCACTCCATTCACAGACAGGAATCTCATAGGCTCTGCCAAAGCTCTCCACCGCGTAAAGATCTCCCATGAACGCTCCGCATCTAGGCTTTACAACGAGAGCACGGTCACGGGCTGGAAGACATATCGATGCCGACTCGAATCGATCGCGTCCAAACTGACGATCAGGAAAATCTAAAAGTGCAGAGTTCGCTTCCTCCAGGAGACTCCAAGACGTACTCGGGAAAGCGTTGCTAAGGTCCTTGTTTGACCACGTAAGACTGTAACCACCCCGTTTTAGACGATGAGAAACCAACATCATCACCAGCATGGCCCCCTCCTTACGTCTCCCCTTGCAGAACCCATAGTCGTTGGGACCTAAAGCTACAGGATTGTTCCTCCGAATGGCCCCAGCTAGCCAAGCCTTGCCCAGCGGGTCCAGCAGGTGGATGACTCGTTTCCCCTTGGGGCCAGGGGTGGCGCTCTTCGGTAAGGCGCAGCCGAAACTCCTATTCCACAAGGCGGGGAACCTGTTCGCCAGCCGAATACACTGCAAACCACGAGAGAGTGCCTCCTGCAACGGTTCAGGTTGAAACTCGACGGAGTATCCAACTCCAGAGAAACTCTTAGAGAGTCCAAAAACAGGGTCCACGATCATGCCCCAAATCTCAGCTGGTACACTCCACGGCGGGCACGATCGACGTTTGGGTGCGTGTCGCAAATACTTAGTGATAGATAACAAATCCGTAGTAGCCTCCACATTGAACATGCCCAGGTACCCGTTCACCCCCTCCTCCAGCTCCTCCCCCTCCTGGTTGATCTCGATAACCTCCATGTCTCCCTGTGGTCCCTCCTTCTCCCAGACCTCCAGCCATTCCTTAGCACTTAGAGAAGCACCCTCTAGATGGCGATAGCTACGACCACGGGGTCCACGACCCTTGCAGGCAAGAACTCGGATCAAGCGATGGGCTTCTTTGTGATTTCTTTTCCGCCAGGCCTCCTCCAACTCCTCCGTAATGTTCTCCCTCCACTCCCTGAACAGCTGTTTCCTCTGCTGCTGACACTGCTTGCTAATCGCTTTGAGCTGCTGAACCACCTCCTCCTCCTCCTCATCGCAGCCAGCGTGGGCGAGACGACGGCGAATCTCCAATCGCCTTTGAAGAAGAGTCCTGCGCGCCCTGGCCTGCTCACGGTAGGCCTCGGATGCGTTGGGCAACGATCCACAGAAAAATTCACTAGCCTGCTCACGCACGAGGTCATTCAAGATAGTAAAATAAGCATCAGGCCTTCCAGCCGTGGCCGCCGAAGCCAGATCAGACTCACGCTCTTGCAACTTGGCAGCCGCACGATTGAGGAAGGTCTCGCGCACGGAGGCATTCTTCATGGTATCGAAGTTCCAGTGAAGACGATTTCTCCCCAACTGTTCAGGCTCGACAAATGACCACTTCAGATTACAATGCAGCGGTATGTGATCACGAGGATGACGAGAAGGAATGCGTTGATGTTGCCTCATAACTCTCATTAGCGGTCCAGCTGTGTTGATCAGGTTCTGGGCGACCAAGGAGGAGGAGGAGGAGGAGGAGGAGGAGGAGGAGGAGGAGGAGGGAGGAGGAGGAGGAGGGGGGAGGAGGAGGAGAGGAGAAGGAGGAGGAGGAGGAGAAGGAGGAGGAGGAGGAGGGGGGAGGGGGGAGGAGGGGGGAGGGGGAGGAGGAGAAGGAGGAGGAGGAGGAGGAGGAGGAGGAGGAGGAGGAGAGGAAGAGGAGGAGAAGGAGGAGGAGGGGGAGGAGGGGGAGGAGGAGGAGGAGGGGGAAGACGAGGGGGAGGAGGAGCAGCATGGGGAGGAGGAGGAGGAGGAGGAGGAGGAGAAGGAGGAGGAGGAAATGGAGAACAGGAAGGGGGAGGTGGAGGAGGGGGTGCCGTGCTGACTTCGGCGCTGGCTCCCGACACCGCGGGGACCGCTCGGCCTCGAACGATCGGCCGCTCTCCCAGCGCCCGATCGCTCCACGCCGACCGATCCCAGCCCGCCGCCGGCCTTCAACGTGGAACGCTGGCGGCGGGGTCGCCGTCAGTCGACGCGACGCGTACAATCGGACTCGATTGGACAGGACACGCGAGAGGACACAAGACCCTTCCGAGGGCCACATTGCCACAGGAATGTAGAAGGCATGGGTCGCGAGGCAAAGGACGCAAGGGAACCCTTGACTTGGCAGGGTCGGCCTACTAATCTGGGCCGACTGTAGAAGCCTGCCTCATACTCCCGGGATCTCAGGGACCGAGATACCAAGTCGCACAAAGATTCAACGCCTGAGGGCACCGAAGAGCTGGACGCCACAAGGTGCCGAGGCCGCTGCTCCCCAGACCTGCCCCAGGGCGCGAGATCTGCACAGGAGTCCGGGCCAGATGCGGCCGTGGGAGCACGGGCCTCCCGGGAGGCCCACAGTGAAGGGGCCCCAAGACACACAAATAAATGCACACAAATAAAAATATCCCCCATAGTATTATACTGTTTGGGGGGTTTTGTCCTCCCCCCCACTTCCCATAGTTTTGCAAATTTTCCTGAAAATCGGCGATTAATGGTGTCTGTGTGTTTTTCCCCTCCTGACACAGAGGGACAACAGGCCTCCCGCGGCTGGCGCGGCGAACGAGGGCACGCCTCCCGACGCGGCCAGAGCCGAGCGCCAGACGCCCTGCACGACCCCCGGCGAGGGAGCTCGCACGGCCCGCGAGCCCGCGGCCGGCGAACGGGGACGCATCGGCGACGCTGGGGTGGCGACAACTGGCCGTTTCACCGCACCGCTGATGTGCATCCATCGCCGCTGCGTCGCGATCCTCCTTTCCCCCTCCACTCCCACTCAGAGGGCACCCGGGACAGCACCGCGGAGCCTGGCCAAGGTCCGCCTGGGCCCCGGCATGGCACGCAAGCAGTCCGCCTGGCCGAGCCGAGGAGGGCCCGTACACCATCGCAGGGCCCACGGTGGCCTGTCGTGTGGGTGCACTGACAAGTTGAGGCGGCCTGGCAAGGAACGGGACCTCAGAGCGTGAATGACCTACCCCGCTTTCGCTTCCAGGCAAAACCAAGTCATACCACGCGCCTCCTCGTCAAGCGGCCTGACCAGTACAGGCCGTAGCTTGGCATCGCTTGGTATATCTTGGAAGCGAGGGTGGTCAAAGGCGAGGTAGGTTTGTTTTCCCCCTAGGGACGGAATGCCCGAAGGGGGGGAGTGCAAGGCACTAAATTCATTTACCAACCAACCCTTGCGGGATTCATCGGAGACACGAGTTGGGGCGATTGCGCAGACGTGGACCGATCGAAACGCTTCTCTAGGAGGCACAATGGCGCTAACAGCGAAGACGCAAGGCTCTGGCGTCTCCCTTCGAACGAACTGTTGGCGGACAAGATGGTCTTGCAAGATCCGTCGGCATCGAATCGGTTAGCCAGACCGGAGTGTGCGTCGAACTGGGCGGCAGCTGTACAGGAGACGAGATCGGATCGGCTGCGCTACGATGCACGGAAACACCATGCAAGCATCGAGCCGCACCGGCCCCTCGGGAGACCCGAGCCGAATCGGCTCGGGCCCGCCGAAATCCATATCGCATCGGAACCATCGAATCGGAGCGGGCCGTGCCTTGGAGAACTCGTAGGCCGACATCTTCTTCGCGCTGTTGAAGGCGTGCTCTTGGAACATGCCGCGCTGGCGCGGGCGAAAGAGCACCAGGGGCCAGCAGGAGGCCAGCGAGAGCCGCGGCAGCCACCGTGCGATCCAACGCCAGATCGGGAACTCTCGATCTCAACACCTGGGCCCCCAGAGACTCGCGAGGATCGAGCATGACTTTAGAGCGCTTAGTCAGAAGGATAAGGGCTATGAAGCCCGGATGAAGGGCCTTTGGGCCGAATCGGGCCCGATCGAGCCCGGAATGAAGCTGCAAATGAGCCGGCTTCAGCGGCAAGGAGCAGACAGTGCTGGAGCTGACAGAGACGTCCGACCACAGATGCTAAGCTCGACGCCCCAGGGGTTGCACCCAAATGTTCTCTGACCCCCCCCTCGACAGGTTGAGGCCGATACGCCCCAGGAGTCGCATCCGAACGTCCTGCCCCCCCCCACTCGACAGGCTGGGGCTGCTGCGTTGCAAGAAACGCCCGCCACGGCCCGCCTCGCGCTCCCTGCCTGCCGCGGCCGCCAGGTCCCAAGGTTGAGCAGGGACCGACCGTCCCGGCATTCCCATAGTCCTACCACGAAGTGTTCTTGGAACCTCGAGCATGAGCCCGATGTGGTAAAACAAGACACTCCCAGCCAGAAGTGCTCTAAGCACATCTCGTGGAAGCCACAAAGGAGGTTCTCAGAACACTGCTTGGTAGGGCTATAGGCCAGCCAGGACGCTTCGCCACTGCTTGACGAGGGCCTCGGCCCGCGGCCACCGGGCTCCACGGGCCCCCGTGCCCCCCATGGAGTCGCACCTCGCGAGTGCGGGGCGGGGATCGCCCGAAGCAGGCCAGTCTCTCTGGCGAAGGCCGCTTCCAGGCCCCGGGGCTTTCAGGGAACGGCTCGCGAGGAACCGCCAAGCCGAGGGGGAGGGAGCGCGAAGTTCGAGGCCCCAGGAGGCCCTGAAGTGTTGAGAGCCTGACTGGGGCACAGAAGGACGCACCAGAGCTGTTGGATGTCAGCGAATTGCTTTGGAGTCTGGACTGTGTTGCACGGCTGCTCTGCGAACCCTCTTTGGGGAAAAAGGACTTCACGTCTGCCTGCACCGAGGATCTCACACATCCGGGAGACAAGGCCCAGCGGCACTCAAAATCGGCCGTCGGCTGCCAGCTCTGGAAGCGATGCACAAGACCACGTTGCAGCACACCTTCCTCCAACCGGCAAGGCCCGGCCTCCTCCGCCACGACGCCTGCTGCACAGTACGGCTGGCGGCGCGCACGAGGCGGTAAGGGGGAGGGGGGAAGGCCTCCTAGAAGGAGGCTGCTCCTCAGAATGCGCCCGCCCTTTTTTTGGGGGGGGGGAGGAGCTTCTTCTTTTTTTTGGAGGAGCTCAGAATGCGCCCGCCCTGCATCTCTAGAGGGGAGGCCCGCGCCCTCTCGGAAGCGGGGGGGGCTTTCTGAGAAGCCCCCCCCCCTCGCCCGACCCCCCCCCCGCGCGTGGCCTATACTGTTCAGTGTGCGCCTCGTCCTTGCGGCAAACCACGCGCTCCCTCCTCCTCCTCCTCTCCTCCTCCTCCTCCCCCCCCCCTCCCCCTCCCCCTCCTTCTCCCCCCCCGTCATGTAAGAAGCATGTCCAGCTCCAGACTCGGGAGGCCGCATCCAGGCCCCGCGCCTTACCAAGAACGACGGGTGCACACGTCCATGGCCGGATCAAGTTGGCGGCGCGCACGGGGTGGTAGGGGGGAGAAGGATGGGCTTCATAGGAAGAGGCTGCTTCTTAAAGGGAACGGGCCTTACATCCTACGATAAGGACCACGATTTCTAAGGTGTTCCTAAGAAGCTTCCCGCCCTCCCCTTACCTGGGAGAAGGGACCGGCATCATAGAAGAGGCTGCTTCTTAAAGGGAACGGGCCTTACATCCTACGATAAGGACCACGATTTCTAAGGTGTTCCTAAGAAGCTTCCCGCCCTCCCCTTACCTGGGAGAAGGGACCGGCATCATAGAAGAGGCTGCTTCTTAAAGGGAACGGGCCTTACATCCTACGATAAGGACCACGATTTCTAAGGTGTTCCTAAGAAGCTTCCCGCCCTCCCCTTACCTGGGAGAAGGGACCGGCATCATAGAAGAGGCTGCTTCTTAAAGGGAACGGGCCTTACATCCTACGATAAGGACCACGATTTCTAAGGTGTTCCTAAGAAGCTTCCCGCCCTCCCCTTACCTGGGAGAAGGGACCGGCATCATAGAAGAGGCTGCTTCTTAAAGGGAACGGGCCTTACATCCTACGATAAGGACCACGAGTTCTAAGAAGCAGGGCGTTCCTAAGAAGAAGACTTTCCACCCTACCCCTACCCAGGAGAGGAGACAGGCTTCGTTGAAGGAGGCTGCTTAGCAGAGGGCACCGGCCACACACCCTACGACAAGGACCACGGTTCCTAGGAAGCAGGGTGTTCCTGAGAAGCCTTCCCCCCTGCCCCTGCCCAGGAGAGGGGACAGGCTTCACAGACCTGGGGCGCGCAAACATGGAATAGCGATCCATGGATTTGGCGCGCGGTCGCCAATTTCATGGATCGGGGGAGGTGCCTCCCCGAAATGCGGCCGGTGCCGCCTCGATCGGAGGCGGGAGTCCACGATTTCCCATGGAAACGGGACCCGTCGCTAATCCACGCACCATTGATCCATGTTTGGGATCCCCTGTATAGGAGGAGGCTGTTTCTTAGAAGGCACGGCCATATATCCTAGGACAAAAGTCTACGGCTTCCAAGACGCAGGGTGTTCCTAGGAAGCCTTCCGCCCTCCCACTAACTCCCCGTTGCGCGTGGCGGAAGGAACAGGTCGAGCGGCCTGGGGCCCCCGGAGTCGAATCTATATACATATGTATATATATATATAAGAGAGAGAGAGAGAGAGAGAGAGCGTGATCCACCGCCGCTTTACTGTGGAAAATTCCACCCCTCTTCCTCCGGAACCCGGGCCCCCCCCCCTCCGAAATCCCCCCTCTTGCTGGACCCCTCCCCGTTCCCCCCGGCACCCCCCCCTCCCCTACCCCACCCCCTCCCCCCCCCCCCCCCCCTCCGGAAAGACGGAGGGGCTAATTATTTGTTCGAACCCCCAACTCTGGGTCCCTACCACCGTCCGCACCACATCCCCCACTGCTGTCCCCAGCACCACTGTCCTCACCACCACTGTCCCCACTGTTCCCACCACCGTCACCACTGTCCTCACCAGTGCCCCCACCACTGTCGCACTGTCCCCAGTCCCCACCACTGTTCCCACCACGGTTCCACTCTCCCCACTTTCTCCACGGCCCCACCACTGTCCCACTGTCCCCACTGTCCCACTGTCCACTGTCCCCGCCGCTGTCCCACTGAGCTGTCCCACTGTTCCCACCACTGTCCCCACTGTCCCCACCACTGTCCCTACTGTACCTCTGTCCCATTATCCCACCGCCGTCCTCGCCACCGCCCTCACCACTGTCGCCACCACCACTGTACCCTCCACTGTCCCACTGTTTCCACCACATTCCCACTGTCCCCACACCACTGTCCCCACCACCACCGTCCCCACCACTGTCCCACTGTCCCCACTGTTCCCACCATTGTCCCCGCTGTCCCCACCAGTGCCCCCACCAGTGTCTCACTGTCCCCACTCTCCCCGCCACTGTCCCACCACAATCCCAATCTCCCCACTTTCCCTACGGTCCCCACCACTGCCCCACTGTCCCCACTGTTCCCACCACTGTCCCACTGTCCCCGCCGCTGTCCCACTGTGCTGTCCCACCGTCCGCACTGTCCCCATCACTGGCCCACTGTCCCATCTGTCCCCACCACTTTCCCCACTGTACTACTGTCCCACCACGGTCCTAACCACCGCCTTCACCACTGTCCCCAGAACTACCGTCCCCACCACTGTCCCGCTGTCCCATCACCACTGTCCCCAGAACTACCGTCCCCACTGTCCCCACCACTGTCCCGCTGTCCCATCACCACTGTCCCCACCACCACGTCCCCACCACTGTCCGCACCACTGTCCCACTGTCCCCGCACCACTGTCCCCACCACCACCGTTCCCACCACTGTCCCAACTCCCCCACCATTCTCCAACTGTCCTGAGGAGGGAGCGGGCATCGTTTGCCGGCGGCGAGGGGGGGGGGAGGATTCGAACCGGTAGTGACCCCCCTCGGTTTTCGAAGGGCGGGGGGGGTTCGAACCGGAAGTGACCCTCCCCCCTGTTTTCGAGGGGGGGGGGTTCGAACCGGCAGTGACCCCCCCTCCTTTTGATGATGGACTGGGGGCGGGGGGGTCGAACCGGTAGTGACCCCCCCCGCCGGTTTTCGGGAGGGGGAAGGGGACGGGTTAACCCAGTGACCCCCCCCGATTTCCGCCAGCAGCGGTAGAACACGTTCTTTCGAAGATATACACATACATACATATATATATATACACATATATACATACATATACATATATTGCTATATGTGGGTGTAGGTACGTGTATACATATATATATATATATATGTATATGTATTCGTCCGTCGCGGAGACCTGGGCATCCGGTCCTGGTCCTCCAGCGCCTTCAAACATCAGGGCGGGTATATGTGTTGGGGCCTACATGGGGGTCGCTCGCAGGAGAGCCCAGAATCGAATCGATCAGTCGAATCGGCGATCGTCATGAATCGTATCGGCGGAAGTCGGCAGCCGAGTCGGGAAAGGTCGAATCGGTAGGCACATCGGCAGGCTAGCAGGCCTCCATTGAGAAATCGGATCCAACACCGGGGTCCAATGTCGAATCGAATCGGAATCGGAATCCATCGAAATCGAATCGAATCGAATCGGAGGAAACGAAATGAGCCCTGGTTTGCGGCCTCCAGTCAAAGATGAACCACTGACCCCGCCCCACCACCTCCTCTCACACCCTCAGAAGTAGAAAGGACACGGGAAATATGAACGTGAGAAGCCCACGGTCGGGCGCAGGACCCCAGCGTTATGTCGGGCCTGTCCCCCTACATGGGGATTTTCGACGAAAATTAAAAAAATACACTAAAGATAATCAAC